TGTATACGTATTATTTTCTGCCCTCCTAAACTGCGCAAGAAGTATTCAATGTAACATTATTTCTCTCGCGGGTGCCTAAACCCTGCAAGGAAAGAATTGTATCGTATTGTTGTATTTAATAAATCAACTGTAATACATGTTTCTGCTCCTAAACCTGCAAGAATGTATCAATGTATACATATATTTCTGCTCCTAAACTTGCAAAATGTAATCAATGTATTACCTCGTTGCTGCTCCCTCTCTCTTAAACATGCCTAAAAAGAATCATCAATTGTGTATACATATATTTCTGCTACCTAAACCTGCCTAAAGAATACTGTGATATATCAATGATTTACATGTTTCTGCTCCCTAAATACTGAAAAAGAAAAAAATCTATATGTGTATATATATTTCTGCTCCCCCTCCTAAACTCTTTTGGAGAATTTTTTGAGTGTTGATCAAATGATATATTATTATTCTGGTCGGTCCCTAAAGGCTGCAAAAGAAGGAAGTAATATATCAATTATACATATTCTGTCCTAAACTGCCAAGACGTTAAAGATGTATATTAATCAATGTATACAAATAAAATACATATTCTGTCCTAAAACTTGCGAACTAAGAAAGAAGGTACTGATATAATCATTATTTCTGCTCCTAAACTCTAACAGAAGTAATCATAGCTATACATGTTTTCTGCTCCGTAAACTTGCACAAGAATTGTATCAACATTGTATATTATATGTTTTCTTCTCCTAAACTGCAAAAAAAGGATTAAGAATTGTAAATCGAATTCCTGTTTTAGTTTTTTCATATTACATATTTCGCTCCTAAACGTGCAAGAAAAGAATCTTGGATCAAAATAATAGTATATTCCTATGTTTTGTTCAGAGTTGAAGAGGACCTCGTTGTCTTAGCTTATTTATCTTCAGAGGGAGCTATAGCGAGCAGCCGACACGTTCGAACGATTCAGCCTGCATATAAGAGTACGTCGACGTGTAAAAACATTTATATACTAAAAGTCACCGCGTCGGTCAGTGAGGAGAGCCTGTATGAAATGGCATGTTGGGTCCAGGACGCTTCCAGTGCCGGAGAATGGACCGCAGCCCTCAATACCCGTGTTTCGAGGTGTTTACGGACTCGCCAACAACTTGATATCAAATAAATTCTGACCTTAGAGTATCCTCCATTTTAAAGTACTGTCATCATTATACTTTTTTGTTACTGCTGGGCCTGATTTTTTTTTTTTTTTTTTTTTTTTTTTTTTTTTTTCTTTAGTATGTCTTGCATATGAATTTTCCAAAGACGTTGGTTGGGTCTTTCAATATCGTCAACGTTCTCTTTCTTCTCACGTCCACTGATCGTCCTTCTTCTATAGAGAATTACAAAACCATAATCCCTTTTTTTTTACCCTTTTTAAATCCCTCGTCAAACATGCTTTATTTCCTCCTTTCTTCTATCTTCTTTTTCTGTGAAGTTTTTGAACAGGAAACTTACGACCCGGCATCCTGGAAAAGCGAATCCCCTCCAGGAGAAAAGAATCGACAACAATGATTCCCCCCTCTTTCAACCCTTGACATCTTGACGGACACTCGAATAACTACAACGCGACAAGGAGACGTCGAAAAATCGCCATTTTTGCGTGCTCTAAATCCTCTTGCTCCAGGCCGGCAAAAATTCCGATTTCTTATATTGACACAAGGAGGAATCAGTAGTGCTTTAATAAAGCCCCAGTTTCTGATGCCTCTGGTTTCTCTACAGTACCGGTGATGCTAGAGCGTGCTTTAGCGCGGGTGATTTAAGGCCGCATTTCCCTGCCTCTTATTTATTCCTTCTATCACTTTATTCTCTCTGTCTTTTCCTTGCCTTGCCCCGTCTAATTTACCTATTCCTTCATTGTTTTCTATTTCTTTTTCCTCCTCCTTTAATGGTCCTGTCCTGCTTCTTCCTTTATATTCGTTCCTTCATATTTTCCTCTATGATTTACAAAGCTTGTAGTACAGCATCTTATTGTTGACACTCCATATAAGGTTCTAATATTTCTCTGTGTATCTGCGTTCTTTCTAAACAGGAAAAGTTTCTATTTGTGACTTCGTAACACTTATATTGACTTCTATTTGTGACTGATACAGATATGTATGGAAATGTCCTGTGTTGTATGTATGTTTATACAGTACTGTTGTGATCTTTTGTGACTTGTAGTGTGTGTCGTGTGTGCAGTGTGTGGTGTGTCTTATCTGTGGTCTTTTGTCTGTGTATGATGTGTGTGGTGTGCTGTTTGTGGTGATGTGGTGTGTGTTCTGCTGTGTGTGCTATGGTATGTGTGTCTTGTATGATGTGTGTGTGTGTCGTGTGTGTGTGTGTGTGTTTATGTGTGTGTGTGTGCGTGTGTGTATTGTCTGTGTGGGTGTGGTGTGTTGTCACTGCTCTATGGCATATTTGTCCTGTTCTTGAATTCTGTGCTTCGTTATATCTCTTCTTATCCCATCACTAATACCCAAAATAATATTTAATAATA